TTTGTTTATATGGACGAAAAAGTTCTTACAAGTAATACTTCTACAGAGACTCTAACCAGCTTCGTGACTCTCCCATGAATAAAATTGCTTAGAGGCATCTTTACTTTTCTTAGAGCAGAGTCCAAGGTGATGCTTTGTTTCTCAGCAGCACTATCTACCTTTTTTCCCCCTAGGCATCAAGTCGGCACTCTAACTTCCTTGTTCCCTTCCTTATTCCTGGCACGTGCAGATTTCAGAGAAGCAAGGAGGCATTGAGTCTTCAGTATCTTTTCTAGGAAGAGATTAAAACTTATTTGCCTACCAAGGCAGATTCTCCTAAGAAAATTATTGGAAAAAATGGCTGGACACACACCATTTTTTCACGCCTTAAACATGAAGGAAACAGACACAGAACACATACACTCCACATAGCCACTGCTAACCAAAAATCTCTACATATGCAAAGATGTATCCATCATGGAATATGAACATGCATAAGCATCAAAAGGAAGTCAGWTTTACACAGTAAATTAAGAAATAGGCAGCAGAGCAAGGTGAGAAAAGCTGAAAAAWTTTTCTTGAGCTATTCTGAAGTTTTAAGAGTACAGTCAGTACCATGGTAACTTTCACACTGCATATCCATTAATGGGTAGCTTTCCATACAAGCCTGCAGCCACACTYAAACAAAAAGCCTATTTTTCAAATATATCTAGTCATTCTTTAGATTTTCTTCATAAGTATTTTCTTCATAACAAATATTTGAGCTTAGAAAGGTAAACTTTATCAAGACACATTCTTATTGCTTTATCTATCATCCAGTTGCTTTTTTAAAAAAGTAGAACACATAATAAATATGTGCRCTCTTTTGTTTAAACCATTTGGTTGTTAAATTCAGTTTTTCATTCTGCAAGGTGTCAAATAAGGTAGCACTTATCATTAGCAAGGAGCATTTCATAAAAATAACTGCTAAATGAATCCATACTTATAAACACCCCAAGACAAATTACTACAGGACTGAAACACTGCACTGMAAGTTTTAAGATGATATTCTCAGTCCTACCAGTATTCCACACAGTGGCTGGATATTGCTATATCAAAACAACACAATAACTGGACCCCTTTTTGTAAGTGTMATAATTAGTATTTTCCTAAACTCATACTGAAACATGGTAGTGACTTTAATCACTGTTTAGAGAAGACTAGCCAGTGACAACATCCATTTTAAGCAGTATTTCTTTTCACACTGCTAAATAAAGCACAAAAAGCAACATCATCTTTTAAGCTACCYAGCATGTGACCCTGTATCAAATTTTAACAGAAATGACCTAATAAGTTCCTAAGAATTAAGGATGCATGAACCTGATTAAGTAATTTTTTTTTTTAAGGGTAAGGACAACGCTAAATTCTTAACATCAGACTGTGAAAAACAGAAGTTCTATAYTTGTTACCCAAACAGGCACAAGACAAATGGCACAGAGACTAGGTATACTTTCTCTCAAATACACTTCATCATTTCCTTGTGAGATAGTCCTTACYAAAAAACACCTGGAAAGAGCATTTTCCACTTATTGCACAGATTGCCATTGTGAACTCAGAGTTTGAATCAAAAAAGACTAAACCAGGATTTTGTCTGTCTGCGTATTCTAAAGGAGCATTTTAAAAAAACCCAAACCAAATCGCAATCAGTAGTTTGGACAGGGTTTAAAATTTAGAGAAATAACAACTATTTGATTTAGTAATCTTATGACTTATCAGTTTGTTCTTCAACAAACTCAATAAATGCTGAAAATATATAATAAAATTAAGTCAAAATTTATTTATAGTCTTTATCTCAACCCAATTCCCAAGCCACATGTAATGGAACACCTATTAATGGAATTTGACACCAATTAAATTGGGATAAGAAAAGCTCTCCCTTTCGGTTCTCCCTTGCAAGAGCCAAAAGGAATCTGATGCCTGGTATCTACCAGACAGGATTCATGTCAAGAAGCTGGCAAGAATTACCATCTAGGATGCTATGTAATCAATTTGTTAATGCATTTAATTTTAATTAGAGCCTGSCTAAGGAGCAGGTTGTTTCTTTGGTTTTAACAGCTTTTACTCTACATAGCAAATACAGTGCAGAGAGTAAAATTGCAAAGACTTGGCTAATTCTGTTCCAAAGCCCAAAGAAGTTTTTACTGCTTGCTTACTACAGGTTTCACAGCATGCATTCTTCTTTCCAACAGGCTTCAGAAAATGCAAGAGGCACRAACAGAGATTGGGGCTGGCCCAGAAGCACCCAGAGACCCTGGCTGGGACCTCAGGAGCTCCTGTGCAGTGCCAGGACTCCAACATGCAGGGTCTGTGCTACATCACATGGTCCAGAGCAGCCATTCTGGCAGAAAGTGTCTTTGCAGGTGGGAAAAATGGGACTTGGTGAGTRCAGAAAGCAGGTCAGAGGGCTAAGAGGAGAGCTGTAGGCATRACATTCACTGTGTATGTACTTTTTTCTTAGAGCACTTGCAACCAGCATCCCTGACTAGCAGTCGTGGCTGCTATTAGCCACCCGTAACAGTGGGAAAAATTCAAGAACTTTAGCATAACAAAAGGTGTCACTTAGCTAAGGATGATCATGTCCTCTTCCCAGTATTACTACAGTTCTAAAAATWCAATAAACAATAAAACAATAGTAACTTCCATTTTCAATAGCTGAGAAAAGTAGTCTATGGTTTGGTAGATGTACCAGTGAAAAACCTTCTTATTTTTTGCCGTCTTTGACTTTTTTTAAAGTACATACTTCTATGTACTTCTGGAAGTACATAAAGTGTAGCTTTTTTATCCAAAGCAGACAAAACTAACATAAAAAAATGCACCCCCAGCTATCTACTTGAGCTAGTGTCTGTGTTGAAGGGCACAATCCATGCTGTTCCTTCAAAAGCACTGATTCATTCACTTTCTCAAATACAGAGCCGCAGACTGAGTAAAAYTGAGTATTTAGATACAAGTAAGTTAAAATGAAAATTTGCAGGTTTCAGGAGGAGGTTTTGGCAGGAACTATTCAATTTAAATTTTACTAAGAGCTAGTGAAGCTTCCCCTCTCAACGGGCACATACAAATCATGAAGACTTTATGTTACAAACCCTTAAGCTACATGGTCTCTCTAAAACTCTGAACAAAAAGAGTATCTTCATATAATTCTGACGTGATCTTTAAAATACCTAATTCTAACAGTACAATGAAATAGTTTTRTAGTTTATTATCAAGCATTATATTRGAAACAGCCTCRATCAAATTTTTTTTCCTACACTGGTGATGTGTTTCATGAYCAGAATTTGTGCCAATCTGATTGGGGGGAGCACTCAAGAGGAGTGAGAGCACCCTACAGAAAGAAAAACTGTATTATAKTATTATAATTTTATACAGTATAGTGTAATATAATGGAGTTTGTTCTTTACAAGCCAACTAGCAGCTTTAGTCTGATTTATAAACAGGAAGCAGTAATAGAAGCATCTCCACAAAAAACACAAGCTTTTTGTTCAATAAATGTATTTTAGATGTTCTATGTGCCTGCTTCTGTAGCCTTATTCTTCAGTTCTCTGCAAGAGTTAAGAACCATTTGTGATGTCTCCAATAGTTTTCTCTACAACACTTGACTTCWACTCTTCTGAAGATAGTTTTATTTTAAAATATCTCTACAAAGCTTATGGGGAAATAGCATAAGATGCCATCTGGATTGYACAGTTCTTCGAAAAATTCTAATTTGAAATGTAATACAGTAAGATCTATATTATTAAAATTGAAGTTACAGGAACKAAACATTAATAAAAGTCAGTTTACAGCTGCTCAAAAACAAATAACCATAATGTATTTTTTTAAAATAAATATTTGATGCAGAGTAAGTAATCTGCAAATTACCAGAAAGCAGTGACACCATTTGTCATATTGCATAAAAAACAGTTTTCAAGACATTGAAGATTTTTTTGCTTATTGAGGTAAATATCTATATATTTATATAATCATTAATYGTACTGTTCTATGATGGATGAATAATGAATATTAAAATGATGCTTCTGTTTTCATACAGAGTTCTACTAGTCCATGCTCTATCAAATACTCTTGAACACGTGGACATGTAATGGTCTAAAAGGAGCATCTTGTTGGACATTCTGGGCTATTCCTCACCTTTCCCTTTCTATTCATACCAGTTTAAAGAGCACCACCACCAAGCTGCTCAAGAATAATTCACCATTTAAGCAGTGCAACGAGGGCCAGAAAATACAATATGTGCATCTCCCAGCTACACCTAGGTGTCTTAGCTCAGGAGCGTACTACAGAAAAAAAAAAAGCTGCTAGGGAAACAAATTAACTCTAGCACATGTACAAGAATGGCTAACTGACATCTTCCTCACCACCAGAAGCCAAAGTTCCATCAGYTACTGTAGACAGCAGTAAAATACAGCTCACCCAGCAGCTGGTAGTGACAGAGTAAGAGGAGCAGTTATACTAATGCTGTAGTAGCAAACTACAAAGGCAATGTCTGAGAGACAGAAAAATCCAGGTATTTTGCTTTTAATAAACCTGAAAAATGGTGAATACAATACATCCTAAAAAAATGATACTTGAACATACATCAATACAAAGGAACAAAAATYACACTTGTGACCTGTTTTCTGTCATTTACTCCTTTCACACTTCCTCTAAGACACAYAAGTGYCATTGACAATGYTTGYAGCTGAGTACCAAAACAAACAATGYTCTTTGGAATACTATGAAATATTTTTCAAATCTCTCTTTTCATGGTTAAAGTATTTTAAACSTTACATTGAGAACAAAGAACAACGATTTTAACTGACTTCACTAATGCTTCTGATTAAAGCTCTCTTTTAATAAGACAACATCCAAATTAATTTTGTTTCTCCCCAACACAACTTACAGTTTAAATTTGGCYTCTTATCACAAATTGCTTTCTAAGTCAATAACACAATAGCGCATGTCTGTAGTTTCAAGCCCATCACATGAAGTAAGAAATGTGCACTTACCAAGTGAACATAAGGCACAAAGTATCCAAAAAGTGCAGCTGGGATCCCAAAAGCCCAGATTCGGTAACTGAGAACTTTGAAAACGGAGAAATTGCAAATCTTTTTCGCGGGAGGAAACTTGGACTTTCCCTTCTTTCCTCCCTCCTTRTCTTTGGTGCTGGGAACAAGGGGTTTGTATGTAAATCCAGCCAGGAACAGGACAAACATAAGGATGCAGAGAACCCTCAAGGTGTTGTACAGGTCAACAGAGTCGATCAGGACCCTCAGGAGGAAGGGCAGTGACACCGTGAACAAGCTGCTGCCTGCRGTGACAATGCCATTCACGAGTCCAAGGCGCTTCTTGAAATAGTGCCCAAGAATGACCAGGGATGGCTGGTAGGCAAACGAGCAGCCACAGGCAAACAGGATCCCGTAGGTGAAATACAGAGGTTCAATGGTGCTGCAGCAAGAGAGAGAAAGAAGAAATCATTGGTGTTTTGAAAGGCAGTGAATGCTCATATTCAGTGAGTTACAAGTCTGTATATACTTATGGCTGAATAGCACTGTGTCAGCTTAATTCAGCAATTATTCTATTCCTTCCACCAAAAAAATTCATAGAATTCACTGAGCAGGTAAAAAAAGAAAAAATATATTCAATTATAATTACACTAAACAGTGTGGTTAAAAAAAGTTTTGAAAACCATTGTCAGGGCAAGTCAGTCAAATGTAAGTTCAACCATTGCTGGGGTTTTGGATTCTATTTTTACCAGAGAATTTTTTTCTGTTTTGATTTACACATTTCTTCACTATGCTAGCAGTTTAAACGGAATACTGAACTCTCCTCAGAAATCCAGAAAAATCAAGTTAACAGWTTATTATGAAAATACAGTAAGAAAGGTGGCAAACATCTTTAATATTGAAAAATAAAATATTTAAATACTGACGCATTTTTGCAATGCAATATATTGTTAGTAAATTACATACTTTTTAGATCATTTTTTGACAAATAATCCCCTTTGGAATAAATATTTTAAATTCTGTGTTTTGGTCCCTGTATTGAATATGCTAAGAAAGAACTAAAAAAAAATATAAACAAGGAATGAAACATTTAATCTCATAGTAAGGTGGATCTTCATCATAATGYCCTCCATCATTACCATCTACTATACAATTGAAACAAAGCAGAGTCACTGTAATTGATCACAGACATGTGACATCAATAAAAAGTACTCGTGTAAGAAATGTTAAAAGCATGAAGTAACAGTATTAGTAGAACTAATTAAACTAGTGCTGTAGTATTAGTAAGTCAAAGAAAACATTTTTTAACATTTAGATGGAGGCAGTGTGCAAGAAATTTTTATGCAAGATTTCTGAGGTGGCACATGACAGTTTATATAATTTTTTWA